TTGGTTGTAAACGGTGGGTTATGATTGGTTGCTTTTGGACCAATCATGAGGTGCCGGATATGCAAATCTGAGGGATTCTAGTGGTCAATCAGAGCAAGGTTTCGAAGGTCAGGTTTTTGGAAGGGAACCAATCATGGTAATTGTTTGCTCTCTGAGAAACCTCTGCAGACTCGCTGGTGTGCAGCTTCCCACAAGGGAACTTCAATAAGTTGGTGGAAAGGTGGAGTTAAGGTTTTTTGTTTTTGTTTTGAGAGAGATTTTTACTATAAGATATGTGCACTCACCAGAGAGAAAGAGAGACAGAAAGTGAGAAATCACCTCCTGGGGGGATGACCATGCCACAGTTCCTGCTCCTCCATCCTCCTCTTGGGATCTTGGGCACACACACGCACACACACCTGGCGTGAAGTTTAGGGCACTGCGTCCGGGACTTGAACTGTGGTTGACTACATGGGAGTCCAGCAACATAAACATTACACTAATTGCTGGTCCCAAGGTTTGATTTTATTTTGATGCAAAAAAACCTTTGAAATCCATTCATAATTTTTTCATAATAATCATTTTTTTTTTGAGGTTTATTTTTTTCTTTTTTGGGGGGAGAGTGGTTGCTATAGGGTGCATGCACTCACCAGAGAGACAGAGAGAAAGAGAGATAGAAAGTGACAAATCACCTCTCAAGGGGGATGGCCATGCTGCAATCCCTTCTCCTACATTCTTCTCTCAGGATCTTGGGCATGTACACACAGGCGCCCGGTGTGAGTTTAAGCCATTGGGTCCAGGATTCGAACCACAGTTGACTACATGGGAGTCCAGCAACATAGCCATTACGCCAAGTGCTGGTCCCAAGAGAGATTTTTTTTTTCTATAGGGTGTGTCCACTCACCAGAGAGACAGAGAGAAAGCAAGAAATGACCTTCCAGGAGGGATGGCTGTGCCACAGTCCCTTCATCTTCATTCTCCTTCGGGATTTTGGGCATGCATGCACTCTCACTGAGCGTGAATTTTAAGCCACTGGGTCTGGGACTTGAGCCACAGTTGACTGTGTCCAACGGCATAACCATTATGCCATCTGCTGGTCCCTCTATGATCTTTTTAGTCCTTGTGTGTTTGTGTGTGTAAATGGCTCTTTTTTTGGATGTATATGTTTACTTGAGGTGCTGAAACGAATTCTTTCTTTTATAGATCTTATTTGGAGTCAGGAAGAACCTCAGAACATGGGTCCATGGTCTTTTGTTTCTCCAAGGTTTGAAAAACAACTGGCCTGCAAGGTGATCACTCTTTCTCTTTTAGTGGTGTGTGTGTGTGTGTGTTTTACTAGTTCTATTCTTTAATCATAAGCTAAAATATAAAGTCTAGTTTCAGGACATTTTTTTTAGCAGAAAATGCTATGTTTATAGAGCTGTATGTATGTACGTACTAACATTAGTATCTTTTTTTTTTTTAAGAGGTTTTTGCTACACGGTGCGTGCACTTGCCAGAAAGACAGAGAAACAGAAAGCAAGGGACCAGCAGTTAGCGTAATGGCTATGTCACTGAACTCCCATGTAGCCAACCGCAGTTCAAGTCCCAAACCCGATGGCTTAAACTCACGTTGGGTGTGTGTGCGTGCATGCCCAAGATCCCGAGAAGGAGAAGGGATTGTGGCATGGCCATCCCCCCGGAGGGGGGGGGGATTTTTTGCTCTCTGTCTCTCTCCATCTTTCTGATGAGCACACTCGCCCTATAGGAAAAACATCTCTCCCCCCAAAAAGAAAGAAAGCGAGGAATCACCCCCAGGGGGGATGGCCATGCCACAATCCTTTCTCCTCCATTCTCCTCTTGGGATCTCGGGCACACATGCACATGTGCCTGGCATGAGTTTAAGCCACTGGGTCCAGGACTGAAACCATGGTCGACTTTTTGGGAGTCCAAGAACATACCTATTATGCCAACTGCTGGTTCTAGTATCATGCTTTTTTTTTTTTTTCTTTCTTTCTTTTTTTTAATGGTTGTACTCAGAAAACTAAAAGCCCTACCTGTCAGCTCCCTTTTTCTCTAGTGTCCTCCGCATGTCTTACCCAAGCCTTCTTGAGGCAGAGTGATGGCCAGGGGACGTTTTATAATTTGGGACTAGATACACCCTATACATGTTCCAGGCTTATCCACAAAGCTGGTATACATCAATGGGAGGCTGGTGTCCATCTTGATTGTTCTTTAGGAAGGGAAAAACAGTGAGAAGAGCAACTGTACTTCTGTTTCTTTTTGTATCCTGCTTTGATTAGAACTCAGTTCACTCATTTGATACTAGTTTGCTAGGCTCAAATCATTTTTGTTGTTGTTTTTTTTTGTTTGTTTTTTTTTTTGAGAGGTTTTTGCTATAGGGCGCATGCGCTTGCCAGACAGACAGAGACAGACAGACAGAAAGCGAGAAATCACCCACCAGGGGGGATGGCCACGCCGCAATCCCTTCTTCTCCATTCTCCTCTTGGGACCTTGGGCACGCACGCATATGCGCCCAGCGTGAGTTTAAGCCACCAGGTCCGTGACTTGAACTGCAGTGGACTACATGGGAGTCCAGCAACATAGCCATTATGCTAACTGCTGATCCCTCAAATCATTTTTCACACGTAAATAATTCTAATTAAGGAATCTCTACAGCTAAAACCAACTAACAGCTGCTTAGTTACCAAGATAGGACAGGTCTGACCATGTGGGCTGTTAAAAGAGTCAGATCCCACATGGTGGTCTGCAATTCAAATTCCAGCCCTGGAGGCTTGAAGAACATGCTAGGTGGATGTGCATGTGGGCATGCATGACTGAAATCCTGACAGGATGGAGAAATGGAGGAAAAGGAATTGTGGTGTGACCACTCCCATGGGAGAGGCTTTCTCTATTCCTCCCTCTTTCTCTCTCTCTCTCTCTCTCTCACATTCCCTCTGGCAATTTACAAAAAAAAAAAGAAAAAAGAAAAAGACAAATTTAAGTATTTGACTCACATTATCATGCCTAGAATTTAGTTAGTTGTGGTGGTGGCACACATTTCCCTCCAATCTATTCTGTGTAACTTATTGCTTTTCCAAAAAGGTACTTTTGGTTAAATAAAATAAGTGTACCTCCTTGGTAGAACGACACAGAACTCTGATCCAGTCAAAATATCATTTTACTTCTTCTCTGCTCCAATGGCAGCTCCGCCTTGTAAGCCGACCCCCTCTGCCAGTGCCGGCTGTGGGAATTGGCACGGTTCACCTGCAGCAGCATGAAGATATCCTCACCAGGACCTTTGCTTGACGACGTCCTTGAAGAGACACTACTTCCTTTTAAGTAGAGTGACATGAAAAGATAGGCCTGCTTCCTCCACTCTCTCTTCCTGTCTGTTAGGTGACACGAAAAGACTTAATTCCTTTGAGATTCTGGGATTGATGTGGACAATTTAATCAGAAATAAGCAGGGGAATTGGTTATAAACACATGAATCAGACCAGAACATTTATCCTAAATGTTCAGGAGTGTTATGTTTTGGTGTGATCTGCATGAGCTGGACAACTAGGCCATTAATTCTGGATGATTTCAGACTCCATTTAAATGAATCACATTTGACAAGGAAAAATTCTTTAGCCTAATTTGCAGTTTATACTGTCTCCCAACTTGTTTGGTGCAAGTCACTTTAATTAAATTTTCCTTCCTTTTTCAAGGTCCTGTGACTAGCAATATTTTTATTTTATGTAATCTCTGGTGTTGCTTTCCCACCACTGTGTAAAATGTTTCATAAACACTAGCCAAACTAGATTACTCCTGATTTATGTTTTTAAGGTAATTGTTTTATCCATTATCCTTAAATCTAGGTCCTATGAAATACAAATCTCTTGGTGTATAATCTTCTAGCACTGTATTTTTAAATTAATGAAATTGATTTATGGCCTGTTATTGGGGATTTCAGCCCTTGGTTACTCAGTCCCGCCTCTAAAAATTCTCTTCAGCATTATTATGTTTATTTGTGATATTTAAAGAGCACTTAAACAGAGGGAACTTCCCAGTGTCAGGGGTTTGGGGATTTCATAGAGGTTACCATCTGACTCCCTCAGTCTGAAATGAAATCTAGTACTGGAAACAACTGTACAGCAAACTATGTAGCTTTACTTGACTTGGTGCTGTGGAGCCTCCACCATCTACCATTCTTGTGTCAAACACTGTTTTTCTCAGAAGTGATGGGGAAGACCTGAGGGACTAGAATGGGCTCACATCCTCCCAACTTTTACCGGCCACTGGTCATATCTTTCAGAATCAGTGATAAGGTTGTTCTAGTCACGGTAGTATAATACATTTAGGATAAACACCCTATACATGTGGATTAGGGGGCTAGCAGGTGGCATGGTAGTTAAGTGACTGGATCCCACATAGCCAACTGTAGTTTGAGTCCTGGGCCTGGTGGCTTGAAAATCACACTGGGTACTCATACGTGCATGCCCAAAATCCAGAGAGGAGAATGGAGAAGGGATTGTAACATGATCATCCCCCCAGGGGGTGATTTCCTCACTTTCCATCTTTCTGTCTATCTCTGGTGAGTAGACATGCACTATGGCAAAAACCTAAAAAAGAAAGAAGAAAAAAAGAAATGCGTAAGTGTATTGAGTTAATGTTTTTTGTAGTATCCACATCTCTTTTTTTCCTGTATGCCTCAATGCTTCCTTCCTGTGTGAAGCCTTATAAATCATGTAACTTAATACTACTCATGTAAATCAGTGGAATTACAAAGCTCTATTTAATGAGAAGTTACCAATACTATATATTTAATGATGAAAATAAAAATAAAAGCACAGTGTCATTTTTTTCATTAGCTCTTTTGGTTTCTTTTTTTTAAAAAAATTAAGACACAATTGTATATATTTATAGGACACAGTGTGATGTTTGACACTTGGCTGTGTACTTGGGTAATGATCAAGTTGGTATCTGGTATACCCATCATCTGAAACATGCATGTTTCCTAGTGCTGAGAACATTCAAAGTCCTCTCTCAGTTTCTTGAATTAAAAGCTTTCTTGGGAACCAGCAGTTAGCGTAATGGCTATGTCGCTGGACTCCCACGTAGTCGACCGCGGTTCGTGTCCCGGACCCAGTGGCTTAAAACTCACGCTGGGCGCGTGTGCGTGCGTGCAGTGAAAATCTCTCAAAAAAAAAAAAAAAGAAAAAAGCTTTCTTTGATCCCCTCTCCTCAGCTCTCCAGCTTCTCAGGAGCCTGACACTTGTGTGCATGTGCAAGCCAGGTTTTTAAGACTGACCCAAGTCTGAACTGTGGTCACCATATGGTTTCTTGAACTATAAGGGCATGAGCATTATCATTGCATCACAATGGCTGCACCTACTTTAAATCTCTCCAAATTTCTCCCTAACTTCATACCACACAAGTCTGTTTATGATTTCTTATTACATCTTTTTTAACTTGAGCCATGAAATATGTCCTCTTAACCTTCTTCCATTCAGTCACTCCTTCGTGTGTGTCAGTATTACAGAGGGAAAACCTGTGAAGAATCCCAAATCAAGTATTCATTATTTTATTTCATCCCTCTTTAAAATTTCAGTAATTTGGGGCCAGCAGATGGCATGGTGGTTAAGGTGCTGGACTCACATGGCTGACCACAGATTGAATCTTAGATCTGGCAGCCTACTTTCCCACCTTTTCTCTCTCTCTCTCGTGTATGCATATACCTTACAGCAAATTAATAATAAATATAATAACTTGAAAATTTTATAGTAATTTGATATTTATGTCTCATATCTATTATTTTTGAGGAGTCTTCAAAAAGTTAATAGAAAAAAAAAGTTAATGGAAAATCTGTATTATAGGGGCCAGTAGGGTAGTGGTTAAGATGCTGGATCCCCACATAGCCGACCACGGTTCAAGTCTTGGACCTGGTGGCTTGCTCTCTCACTTTCTCTCACTGTCTCTTTCTCTCCTTCTCTCATCAAATTAAATAATAATAATAAATAACATAAAATAAATATTTTTTAGAAAAGAAAATGTATAGTATAAAAAAATCTGTGCATGGATCTCAAAACCTTTTGCACCAAAATAAACTCATACTTTTTTTTTTTTGAGAGGTTTTTGCTATCGGGCATGTGTGCTTGCCAGGGAGAGACAGAGAGACAGAAAGTGAGAAATCACCCCCAGGGGGAATGGCCACGCCGCAATCCCTTCTCCTCCATTCTCCTCTCGGGATCTTGAGCACGCGCACACATGCACCCAATGTGAGTTTAAGCCACCGGGTCCAGGATTTGAACTGCAGTTGACTACTGGGGAGCCCAGCGACATAGCCATTACGCTAACTGCTGGTCCCCAAAATAAACTCATACTTTAATTCCATTTTTTCACAAACTTTCTGAAGTTACTTCCTATATCTTTCTTTGCTAATTTCATGGTCGATGAAGAACAGAGTTTAGGATTGGCCTGATAGCCTCCTGGCGGATTCCACATGGCCAACTGCAGTTTGCCTGTGGGCCCCAGAACCTTGAAAAACATGCTGGGCAAGTGTGCCTGCATGCCCCAGATCCCAGTGGGATGGAGAAGTGGAGGAGAAGGGATCAAGGCAGGACCACACCCTGTTGGAGGGTCATTTCTCCCTCCCTCTTTCTGTTGTCTCTCTCTGGTAATCATATATGCCCTCTGGAAATTTATATATATACTAGAGTTTAAGTACTCAATGAGTGAAAATGTTAGCAATCATAGGCAAATTTCAGTTTTGTCTAAAATGACACATCATTCTTACTAAACTAAAACTTCTTGCCGTATAAGAACCATTTTGCTTAGTTATTCTATATCATCCATATACATGCTATTTGGGTAAAATATTCTGAACTTTAGATTTTTTTTTTTTTTGGAGAGGTTTTTGCTATAGGGCGCGTGCGCTCGCCAGACAGACAGAAACAGAGAGACAGAAAGTGAGAAATCACCCCCCAGAGGGGGTGGTCACGCCACAATCCCTTCTTCTCCATTCTCCTCTCGGGATCTTGGGCACGCACGCACACGCGCCTGGCGTGAGTTTTAAGCCACCGGGTCCGGGACGAGAACCGCTGTCGACTACGTGGGAGTCCAGCGACATAGCCATTACGCTAACTGCTGGTTCTCAACTGTGGATTTCTTTAGTGATTACAGTTACCTTTGAAATAGCTTGTTCCAGCAGATGTCAGAGCAGAAGTCAATCTCAAGGATTTCAAATTTAAGTAAGGAAAATAATTTGAGGGCCGTCTATGTGCCAATCTCTGAGTTTCACTTTTGCACTCTTCACAGTTATTATTAGCCTTATTTTACTGATGCAGCTCAGAAAGTTCAATCACCCAAAGCCATTCAATAGTAGAAGGAACACTACCCTGTGCACGAGGATCAGATCTCAGCTCAGAAAACCTGGCTCAGGGAAACTGCTCAGCTGGAGGAAGCATAAACCCCTGACCTCGGTATTTTGGCGAAGCACCATAATAGACAGGGGAGGAGGAATTCACAAGCTATTTACTATACACGACGTGTCGCAAATTTTTACAGCTTCCAAGAGGTTACGATGACGTACAAAAGGAAAAGGTCGGTTCGTGCCCGTCGGCTCTTGGCTGCTCAGCCCCAGGCCTCAGGGACGGAACCTTGGGCTCCGCGCTCCTCTGACCATACAGCAATCCCAGCTTCCCGACGGAGTCACCCGGACTGCCTGGGTCGGGCATGGAGAGCAAGAAAACGGTCGGTTCTCGACACTGCTCGGGAATCTCAGAATAAAAACTCGGTGAACTGCCAGTCCCTCGGAATACCCGAGACCCTGCAGCCAGACCTAAACACACGCACAGGGGCGGGCCAGCCACGCCTCCTGGTAGCCGGCCCAGCCGGCCGCCGGCTGGCCAGAGAGCTTCGGGAGCCGGCGCGGAGGCCCGAGCTGCGGGAGCTGAGGGAAGGCTGCGCCGAGCCCGCTGTCCTCCGCCCGGCCTCCCCAGCCGCCGCCATGGGCAGTGAGTAGCGGCGGGCTGGAGCGGGGTTCTGGCTGGGGCAGGGGCACCACTTGGGCTGGTCCGGCGGGGCTTAGGCCCACTCGGGGTCTTCCAGCCTGCGGTCGGGGATGCACTGGCCGCGCCCGGCCGCTGCAGAGGGCGAGGGCCGGGGACCGCCTCCGAGGCCCCTACAGGCGTGCGAGGCCTTCCTTGCCTGGGCCCGCCGCGGAGACCCGGGCCGTGAGGCCGGGGTTTTTGCGCTTCATGGGCGGCGAGGAGCGAGGATGGCGCGGAGAGGCCATTGGTTTTGGGGGCGGGGAGTGAGGGCACCGGGCTAAACCTGGACCATTTCTAATTTTTCAGAAGCTTAAACTCATGTTTTTATTCCTAGATCACCATTCCTTGGCATGTTAGTTATGATGGATAAAGCTCCTTTACTCGTTTAACTGAAAAAAAAAAAAGTGATGCATGGCAGGGATTTTTAGGGGAGGAAAGGAGTGATTGGTATAAAATGTTCATTGCAGTTATTCTGTAGCGTTCATTGAAAACTCTGTAAGATTGTATAAGCCTTAAGGACAAGGCCTTTGATTATGGGGATCCTTTGCAGGCTCTTTCTCAAGCACTGAACCCCATACATTTACACGTAGATCCTTAGAGCTGTTCACGTGTTTGTTGGTGGAGTGGATAACTGCATATCTTAGCACACTCACTGGCCAACTAGTGGACATTAGGGAAAAATAGTAGAGGAGATCCCTGGCCTGTATGTACAGTGTAAGGGGTAAAATTCTGCAGCACAGGGATAGACAAGCGTTGCTTGAACTTGCAGATGATCATAAAATACCAGTAAAGTCGGAAGACTGGCTTGGATTAAGGTGGGAAGGAAAAGGGATAAAGAGGATCTAGGAAGCTTCCCATTACGATGGATATTTGCAGTAGAAATGATTGTTTTCAGTATTCAGATTTCCTTTTTTTTTTAGAGAGAGGTTTTTGCTACAGATTGCCTTGCGCTTGCTAAAGAGACAGAAAGCAAGAAATCACCCCCCCCCCCAGGGGGAATGGCCACGCCTCAATCTTCTTTCCTCCATTCTGTTTTCGGGATCTTGGGCATGCATATGCACATATGCCCACTGAGTGAACTATGCCCAGTGAGTGAACGGTGGACAGTCCTTGACTTAACCATTATACCATCTGCCTATCTGCCAGTCCTTTTTTTTTTTTTTTTTTTTTAAAGAGATTTTTGCTATACAGCACGTGCACTCGTTGGAGAGAGAGATAGAAAGCAAGATATTACCCTCCAGAGGAGATGGTCATGCCACAATCCCTTCTCCTCCATTCTCTTCCCAGGATTTTGGGCGTGCACACACACGGGACTGCTGGGTTCAGGACTTGAAACACGGTGGGCCATGTGCAGGAGTCAAGTGATTCAACCATTATGCCATCTGCTGGTCCCCAGATTAACTTTCTAATTAATCCAAAGGCGCTTGGGTAACAAATCTCTGCTCCTAAGAATTACTGAATTATTCTATCAAACATCAGAGAGTGCCATCTTTTGAGAGGTTTTTCTAAGAGGATAGTAAAGTCAGCTTTTGGCTGGCCAGAAACCTAATAATTCATGTCAGCTTTAAAACAATTTTAGGATGTTAGTATAGAGAATCCAATGTCTATACGGGAAGATGATCCTTGTTAATAACTGCTTGTGGCCTGTCCTGTTCCTGCACATCGCAGTCTTTGGCAAGGGACAGAAGCTTGAGAGGTTGTCATCTTCACCCTTCAGTTTTCTGGCAGGACATGGCTTAAGCCATGCCAGAAGACAGTGTCTGTCCTTAAAGAACCTTGGCTTATCTTACTTTTCTATACTATAAGAGTTCTTTGATATCATTATGTGGAAGTGTGACCAAGCAGTGAAGTGTGTCTTAATATAATGAAGTAAGAGATTGTATACTTTAAAAAGTTATCTAGCGGGACCAGCAGATATATAATGGTTATGTTGGTGGACTACCATGTAGTTGACCATTGCTCAAGTCCCAGACCTTGCAGCTTAAAACTCAGGCTGAGAAAACAAACAAACAAACAAAAAAGCCCCTCAGGCTGGGTGCGAATGTGCCCAAGATGCCTAGAGGAGACTGGAGTTGAAGGGATTGCAAAGAGGCCATTCCCCCTGGGGAGGGATTTCTTGCTTTCTGTCTCTCCAACAAGCCTAACTGCCCTATATCAAGCATCTCTCTTTTTTTTGGAGAGATTTTAGCTATAGAGCTTGTGCGCTCGCCAGAAAGACGTAGAGACTGACAGATAGAAAGCGAGAAATCACTCCCCACGGGGGTTGGCCACACCGCAGTCCCTTCTCCTCCATTCTCCTCTCGGGATCTTGGGCATGCACACACACGTGGCCGGTGTGAGTTTATGCCACCAGGTCCAGGACTCGAACCGCAGTTGACTACATGGGAGTCCAGCAGCATAGCCGTTATGCCAACTGCTGGTCCCAGTAAACATTTCTTTAAAAAAAAAATTAACTAGAAAATGATCCCATGACACTTCTTACTTAGTTGTCTTTCAGTAAAGTCAGTTCTTAGGTGAAGCCCATTGTTATTTTTAGTGGAGAAGGCATCTTCCTTTATTCCTCTTCTTACATTTCAGTTTTCTATAATGCTTTGTCTTTCTGGTACCTAAGCACACAGCATTTGCTCTTTTTGCATGTAGTGATGCTCTAGGAATAATTCTTTTCTTGTGATGCTCTTCAAATAATTCTTTTCTTAAATATGTAGAAGGATTGGATACAAGTGTCAGGAAGCAAAAATGGTAAAAAGTTATTTTGATTATTTGTCTTCTAGTGACTAGTCCTCAAACTATTTGAGTTCTTTTGTCCCTTGAATTGTATTGCATATCTGTTCCCCTATATATTCATTTGAAGTGAAGAGCATTATGATTATTTAAATTGAAGAGGGTGGGGATGGGGAGGATTGCCTTTGAAAGGTAAAGAACATTTGTATTCGATTCTTTTTCTTTTCTAAACTTTGTAATAGGGATGTTTCTTCTTCTTTTTTTTTTTTGGTAACAGTCAAATTTTTAGAAGTTATCAAGCCTTTCTGTGCAGTTCTACCAGAAATTCAGAAACCTGAGAGGAAAGTAAGTATATTTTTATAATTTAGAGGGTAGCTAAATGAATTGATTTACTTGTCCTAGCCTTTTCCTGGTTGTAACTGGAAAAAATATTACCTGCTCCTCCTCTTTGCAAGAGGCACAGGCTGACTAAAACTATAGTATAGACCTCTTTAAATAGTTTCATGCTTTCAAAAATGACTGTTAAGTTTTAACGTTTCTAAACCAAGGGTTTCTTTGGCCTGTGTGTTAGTTAAGATACAGCATTCTGCCTGTCGTGATCCCTTATAATTCCTGTAATGTAGAGTGTGCTTTGTGCTTGCTAATTGTGCTTGAGATCTGCTGTTCTAACTGAATGGCCCAGTCTGCTGGGTAGATTTTGATGAGTCCAACCATTTCACATGAATGAATCGCAATTGTGCAAGTATTTACCTCCCATTTCTTTTTAAAAAATAATTATTTAATTTTACTAATTACTATATTTATTTTAATTTGGCCAGAGAGAGAGAGGGGAAGTGAGAAAGCAAGCCGGCAGGTCCGAGACTTGAACTGTGCTTGGCCATGTGGCAGCCCAGTGCCTTAACCACACGCCACCTGGCCTTCCTCCCATTTCTTAATTCATTCTTTGGGGGAAAAAAAAATGACAGTAATTCATCCAGAAGATACTATGATCAAGTCAAATTGTTTTTCCATCCTTAGTTGCTTTTTGGAGCTAAGGTATGGAAATTCCAGAAATATTGTTAATTCCAAACTGCCCATTTCCCAGACATTCTTTTTCTGTATTTAAAATTTCTCATGAAACTAACAGGAATTAAGAATATAGAAATAGGTAAAACATTTGTAAAATTTAATATTTTATTAAGACGTTCTTTATACTTTTTTATTGCTATGAGATGGTAGAAATATCAATAGCTGTTTTAGGTGCATTTCAGGAATCCCAAGAAACTAGCTTTTCATAGTCTGTGAGTTATTTCTGTGCTAATGGTGCTACAAGCAGTCCTAGATTTGCAGGGAAATTGTTAACTCATTTTGATGGAATTAACTAATTCTCTAGAAATAATAACGCATTTTATTTATTTTTTTGAGAGGTTTTTGCTATAGGGCGCTTGCGCTCGCCAGAAAGACAGAGACAGAGAGACAGAAAGTGAGAAATCACCCCCCAGGGGGGATGGCCACGCCGCAATCCCTTCTCCGTTCTCCTCTTGGGATCTTGGGCATGCACGCACATGCGCCTGGCGTGAGTTTAAGCCACCAGGTCCGGGAGGCGAACCTTGGTGGACTACATGGGAGTCCAGCGACATAGTCATCACACTAACAGCTGATCCTGCACATTTTATTTCTTTCTTCCTTTTTTTTTTAGGGGGGGAGAGGTTTTTGCTATAGGGCGCATGCGCTCGCCAGACAGAGAGAGACAGAAAGCGAGAAATCACCCCCCAGAGGGCATGGCCACGCCACAGTCCCTTCTCCATTCTCCTCTCGGGATCTTGGGCACGCATGCTCACGTGCCTGGCGTGAGTTTAAGCCACTGGGTCCGGGACTCGAACCACGGTTGACTACGTGGGAGTCCAGTGACAGCCATTACACTAACTGCTGGTCCCTCCACGCATTTTATTTCTAAGCAGGAATTTAGTGACCATTCCTGAGAAAGACCAGAGTTTTTCTTGGGGTGCTAAGATACATTGCTTTCTTTTATATAGTATTGAAGATAGAATTGTCAGTCAACATAAGGAGACTTTTACATTGGTCTGGCCCCAGAAAGTGGGACATCTGGAATCTGAGACTTGTAGGTTATAGGTGAGTTTGAAATTCTTAGAGTAGTTGGGTGTTAAAAACAAAACAAAACAAAACAAAAAAAAACACAAGTCTGTTTCTGAAAGAAATCAGCAGAAGAATGTCTGTGCTCTAAGAGAGAAGAAAAATTACTGTGGATCATGAAAACACTATCCTGGGACGTGTAGCATCCCCTGTACAGGGTCTGTTAATGTTCATAGGCCTCTGTTACTGTCTGTAGGTGTGACTCTCCCAGGCGCCCTGGGAAGAAGTCAGAATTTTGTCCTCACTCATGTGTATTGGATCTGTTTTCCTTTGCCTCCTTTTCAATTTCATTTAGCAGGTGGTACAGTATAGATGGCGACTGCCTGAATTTCTAACTTTCCTTTTTTGATAAGTAAAGAAATTTATGTTTAAGAAGTTCAGTTATTTTAGCTGCTGCAATCTAGGAGGAAAGGGACATTTTAAGAGTAGATAATTTAGGGCCGGCAGATGGCGTGGTGGTTAAGGTTGCTGGATTCCTACATGGCCGACTGTGGTTCGAGTCCTGAACCTGAGGGGTTGCTTTGTCACTTTCTCTCCCACCCTCTTTCTCTCATTCTTTCCTCCTCTGGTCAAATTAAAATAGATAAATAATAAAGTTAAATAAAATAATTATTTAAAAAAGAGTAGATAATTTAAAATATTTCACTGTTTTACATGTTTTGGAGGATGTCATGATGGAGAGAACATGATTTATGCTTTATCGTGGATTTTTGCTGTAAATTTGCTGTTTCTTGGTTTTGATTGATTATTCTTTGTGTTTTATTGTGCAGATCCAGTTTAGAGAGAAGGTACTATGGACTGCTATAACTCTCTTTATTTTCTTAGTATGTTGTCAGGTATGTAGATATATAAAGTTACATGTACTCTTGTTCTAAGTCTTGATTAGATGGAATTTGAGAAACTCATTTTAGTTAAAATATTAAATATACTGAAATATATTAAGCATTGTTATCTTTTTTATTTTTAATGAGTTTCATTTATGTATTTATTTTTAGGATTTTTGCCATAGGGTGCATGCACTGCTGAAGAGAGAAAGAGACAGAGAAAATGAGAATTCACCCCCCTAGAGGTGATGGCTATACCACAATCCCTTCTCCTTTAGTCTCCTCTCTGTCTCTCTCTGGTGAGTGTGTGTGCCCTGTAGCAAATTTAAAATAACAATAATAAATAAAATCTTTAAAAAAGAAAATCAACTCACCTTTACTGTGTCAGCTGCTCGCCCCAAGATACACTTGTTTTTAATCATACAACTTAAGTAATTTTTTTTTAATTTTATTATTTTATTTAGATTTATTTATTTATTTATTTTTTGGAGAGGTTTTTGCCATAGGGTGTGTGCGCTCACCAGAAAGACAGACAGAGACAGAGAGAGACAGAAAGCGAGAAATCAGCCCCCAGGGGGGATGGCCACGCCGCAATCCCTTCTCCTCCATTCTCCTCTTGGGATCTTGGGCACGCGTGCACATACGCCCGGCATGAGTTTTAAGCCACCGGGTCCAGGACGCAAACTGCGGTCGACTACACGGGAGTCCAACGACATAGCCATTACGCTAACTGCTGGTCCCACTTAAGTAGTTTTTTAAAAAGCACTGTAAACATTGGGAGCCAGCAGGTGGTGTGGTGGTTAAAAGTGCTGGATTCCCACATGGCCAACTGCAGTTCAAGTCCTGGACCTGGTGGCTTGTTTTCTCACTTTCTCTCTCTCTCTCTCTCTCTCTCTCACTCACTCACTCTGGCTCTCTCTGGTCAAATTAAAATAAATAAATAAATAAATAAAGTTAAATAAAATAATTCTTTTTATAAAAAAGCACTGTAAACATTAAGTGAACACATTAAAATTAAATGCAAACTTAATTTGTATAATGATTTTTATAGAATATTTTGTGTAATATTTTAGATACCACTGTTTGGAATCATGTCATCAGATTCTGCAGATCCTTTCTACTGGATGAGGGTTATACTTGCATCCAACAGAGGTATATGTTACTTCTTGTCTCCATACTGCTAGTGACATCAAGTCATGTGAAAATGTGGAGTTAACAACTATTTTTCAGTGTCTGCGGAGAAGGGGAGAATATGTGGGGGGGAGAACCCATTGCCTGGAGAAGAGATTGACATGTAAATAATGACAACGCCATATGTTTAATGTAGTAACGGACAGTGAACAGAGAATGGAATGGTTAGACCTTCTAGGACTTGGATTCTCAGCCCTTTTATGGATCATGTTTCCTTTGAGAAGCTGATTAAACTTAAGTTCTTTGTGGTATCTAGGTTTTTCAGTCACGTTTAGAAAGGCTTTTTTTTTTGTCCTGGATTATAAGCATACTCACCCATATTTCCTTTTAGTACTTTTCTTCAGCACTCATTTTATTGTAAGTAATGAGGTAAGTAATATAGTAATTTTCTGTAAATGGCCAGTCATTTCACTACCGATTGAAATGCTATATTTCCTTCATCAAATTTTCTTTAAGCGTTGATTGGATCTGGGGCCAACAGGTGGCATGGTGGTTAAGGGCACTGGACTCCTACATGGCTGGCCCCGGTTTGAGTCCCAGACCTGGTGACTTGCTTTCTCACTTTCTCTCTCTTTCTCTCGTGCTCTGTCCCTCTCTGGTCAAATTAAAATAAGTAAATAAATAAATAAATAAAGTTAAATAAAATAATTCTTTTAGAGAGAGAGGGGGAATTGAGAAAGCAAGCCACTGGGTCTGGGACTCTAACAGCTGTTAATTATGTGGGAGTCCAGTGCTCTTAACCACCGTGCTACCTGCTGGCCTCAAAAGGTTTATCTTGGGAACCAGCAGTTAGCGTAATGGCTATGTCGCTGGACTCCCACGTAGTTGACCATGGTTCGCGTCTCGGACCCGGTGGCTTAAATCTCACTCTGGGCGCGTGTGCGTGCGTGCCCAAGATCCCGAGAGGAGAATGGAGGAGAAGGGATTGCGGCATGACCATCCCCCCTGGGGGGTGATTTCTCGCTTTCTATCTCTATGTCTTTGTCTGTCTGGCGAGTGCATGCGCCCTATAGCGAAAACTTTTCCAAAAAAAAAAAAAAAAAAAGGAAAAAAAATGATTTATCTTAAAAAGGAATTCTGTAACATTTTAAGTTTTTAAGTTTTAGGATTTATAAAAATTTGCCTTCTTGTAGTACTTACATACTTTTTATTTAATGCATTGTTACAGGATTGTGTTAAATTAGAACTTTCTTAGCAATTAGTTTTTTTCTTTTAAGAATTACTTATTTAATTTTATTTATTCATTCATTTATTTTAATTTGACCAGAAAGAGAGAGGGGGGGCGGAGAGGGAAAGCAAGCCACCAGGTCTGGGACTCCGAGACATGGTTGGCCATGTGGGAGTGTCCAGTGCCTTAACCATCATGCCACGTGCTGGTCCCAGCAATTAGTTTTTTAGGAAAGTAAATTTGTTAACATATAAGTATGTTTTTCAGTAGATGTAATTTAGGACTAAAATGGTCCTAAGTTAATTTGTACTATGTACAGTAAAGACTGTTTGATTTCCTTTGCAGGAACTTTAATGGAATTGGGTATCTCCCCAATTGTAACGTCTGGTTTGATTATGCAGTTGTTAGCTGGAGCTAAAATCATTGAAGTTGGAGATACACCCAAAGATAGAGCTCTGTTCAATGGAGCCCAGAAATGTGAGCATTAATATAGTTATAGAGCCTTTCCCAGATTTAAGATGATTTATGGAAAAGATGTTCTCGTAGTCTTCATTTGTCTTTGATTTTAAGCATGTATTCTTCCCTCCCCAATTTTTGTCAGTGTTTGGTATGATCATTACCATTGGCCAAGCTATTGTATATGTCATGACGGGGATGTACGGGGACCCTGCAGAGATGGGTGCTGGAATCTGTCTCCTTATCATTATTCAGGTAATAAGTCTTACATTTGCTAATGCAGATAACATAATTGTGTGATCTCTTTTCTAACAGTTTTTTAGGGTTTTTTTTTTTGAGAGGTTTTTGCTATAGGGCACGTGCACTCGATAGAAAGACAGGGACAGAGAGACCAAAAGTGAGAAATCACCCCCCCGGGGGATGGCCATGCCACAATCCCTACTCCATTCTTCTCTCGGGATCTTGGGCACACGTGCACACACGCCCTGCGTGAGTTTAAGTGACCAGGTCCGGGACTTGAACCACAGTCGACTACATTGGAGTCCAGCGACATAGCCATTACACCAACTGCTAGTTCCAAGGTGATTTCTTTTTTTGACTTTTGAATTAATTATAATATTTTGATTACTGAAATAATATGTATCAAATTATGCTGATGTAAAAAAATGAACATTTATTCTAATTGCCTCATAACTGTACAGTATAAAAATTATGGATCAACTGTATTTTATTGATTTTAAGATGTACATTTTTCACTTTTTGATGTCTCTGAAATCATAATGTTTTCCTAGAGTTCATATTAGTTGTGATTGCCTTGCACATGTCAGCTCGGTCATGACTATTCATATCTTAATTATATCATTTGATTATATACATTGATTATATACAGGTGTTTGAATTTAATTGTTGTCTAAAACGTATTAAAATTTTTTTTGTTGTGATTTGTTATTGTAATGAAAGTTGGTCCAGCCAGTTGGTCTGGTGGTTAAGGCAGGTGGATCCCATATGGCCAACTGTGGAGTTTGAGTCCTGGACCTGGCAGCTTGAAAACTATGCCACCTGGGACCAGCAGATGGCATAATGGTTACATCACTGGACTCCCACATAGTTGACTACGGTTCGAGTCCTGGACCCAGCTACTTAAAACTCATGCTGGGTGCATGTACATGCATGCCCAAAATCCTAAGAGGAGAATGGAGGAGAAGGGATTGTGGCGTGGCTATCCCCCCTCGGAGGTGATTTCTTGCTTTCTGTCTGTCTCTGGTACGCTTACATGCCCTATAACAAAAATCTCTCTTTTTAAAAAAAAAAAAAAGAAAAGAAAATTCTATCCACATGTTTGTTTGTGCCCAAAAGCCCGAGAGAATGAGAAGGGACTGTGGTGTAGTTATCCCCCCCTCAGGGGTGTTTTCTTGCTTTTCTTGCCTCTCACTCTTTCTCTTACTGGTGAGTGCACATGTCCTATAGCGTTTTTTTAAAGTTGAGAAAAACATTTTATTAAAAGAAACATTAGGGGCCAGCAAGTGGCATGGTGGTTAAGGCACTGGACTCCCACATGGCCAGCCATGGTTCAAGTCCTGGATCTAGAGGCTTGCTTTCTTGCTTTCCCCTCTCTCTCCTTTTATCTCTCTGGTCAAATTAAAAAATAATAATAATAAATAAAATTAAATAATTAAATCAGATGATAAATATGAGGAAGTCTAAAATACCCTTTTTTTATAAGTAGAAAATTAAAATTCTTTATAATTAAGGTATTATGTCAGATTTATTCTCAATATTATTTTCTTAGTAGTACACTAAATAGTGCGGTTTTAAATAATGTTTTGGAGTCAGCAAAATACCATTTATATACACACACATATATATATATATATATAATCCATAGTATTTTTTTGATAAATTTTTGTTATAGGGCACAGGCACTTGCCAGAGAGACAGACAGAAAGTAAGAAGAAATCATCCCCCTCCACATACCGGCGGGGGTGAAGGCCACACTGCAGTCCCTTTTCCTCTATTCTTCTCTTGGGATTTTGGGCACATGTACATATGTACCCAGCTGAACCACGGTCCATCACGTGGAAGTCCAGCACCTTAACCATTACTCCACCTGCTGTCCCCTATATCATGGATTTTTAAAATGGGTGTTCTGGAATGGATTCTTTCTTTTATTTTTGGAGAGGTTTTTGCTATAGGGCGCGTGCGCTCACCAGACAGACAGAGAGAGACATAGGGACAGAAAACGAGAAATCACCCCCCAGGGGGGATGGTCATGCCGCAATCCCTTCTCCTCCATTTTCCTCTCGGGATCTTGGGCACACACGCACACGCGCCCAGTGTGAGATTTAAGCCACCAGGTCCGAGACGCGAACCGCGGTCGACTACGTGGGAGTCCAACGACATAGCCATTACGCTAACTGCTGGTTCCCTGAAATGGATTCTTTCTTTAACCAATTATGTATTTATTTAATTCCATTTGTTATTATTTTTTAATTTGAGCAGTAGGTGACAGAGAGAGAAGGGGAAAGTGAGAAAGCAAGCTGCTAGATCTAGGACTCAGACCGTGGTCAGCCATGTGGGAATCCAGCACCTTTATTCACCACACCACCTGATGGCCCCTGGAATGGAATTTTTAAAGGCCAACATAATTAACACTTTACTAAGTATTTTAAGATGTATAAATTTTAGTGGAAATTTTATTATTATATGATCCTTAAAAATCATTTGGAGAAATTACCCAAGAATAGATTGCATTTAAGTTGTGTAACATGTTTTTCTGTTGTGAAAGAAGTTTAAGTTAATAAATGGTCAGTATACAGAGTCCTGGTCATCTTGAGAATGCCTCCTGTTGTCTACTCTGAAATAAGAATAATTTGGAAAAAATTTTAATGGTTTAAAATATCAAGCTTAGAAGAAATATTTTAAAATAACCCAAATATCAGTTTATTGTTTTTTATATGTCGTATATATGCAATAATACGTATATTCAGAAATGTGACCATCTCAGACTGGCATAGTTGGCAAAAAATTCTTACGTAGGAGACAAAGATTGATTAGTGAGTGTGATTCAAAACAAGGAACGTTAGATTAAGTATTTGACATCATTAACAATAGGGATGGCTTTTCTGATGCGATGCAGCTATTTTGTCTTTTAACCAGAGTAGAGATTTTTGGGGGTCTTTGGTAGCTTTCTGAGCCCCTGTTTGCTTCCAGTTTTTGTAAGATACATTTCCTTAGGGCCAGCCTGTGGTGTGATGTGCTAAGGCAGCTGTATCCCACTTGGCTGACTACATGGGTTGAGTCCTGGACACTGGCTTGGGAAACACACTGGGAGCTTGTGTGTGCATACCCAAAATCCCAAAAGGAGAAAGGGATCGAGAAGGGATTGACTTGTCAGCATTTCCCATGGAGGATGCTTTCTCCCTCCACCTCTCTCCCTGTCTCTCTACAGTGAGTACACAAGCCCTCTGGCAAATTAAAAAAAAAACAAAAAACTTACACACACACACACACACACATTTTCCTAAAGAATAAGTAATAACTTATTTACAGATACCTTGTTTGGCAAATTTTTAGCCCTTGGGAATTAGAGGAAGAAGTGCAATGAATGTGGAGAGAAGATACTCTGGAGACTGGTTTGAATGTCTTTCCATGCTTAGGATCTCTTCATGTTGTTTGTCATTGTTGAGGAACTGATAGATTGATTTTTGCCTTGTGGTTTTTATGTATGTATGTATGTATGTATGTTTGTTTTGGAGATGTTTTTGCTATTGGGCACATGTGCTTGACAGAAACACAAAGAGAGACAGAGAGACAGAAAGCGAGAAATCAGTCTCCCAGGAGGTGGTCACGCTGCTATCCCTTTTCTTCTATTCTCCTCTTAGGATCTTGGGGACACACACACATGCCCCTGGTGTGAGTTTAAGCCACTGGATCTGGGATTTGAACCATGGTCAACTACATGGGAGTCCAGCAATGTAACCATTACGCCATCTACTGGTCCCTGGTTTGTTTCTTTATAACATTTGCCTTATCCAACCCATAGTGTAGAATAACCATCATTTCTATAAGACACTCAGAATTGACATCTAAATTTTAGACCATTATTTGTGAGTAAAATTTCTCTAGTGTTTTATCTAGGACTGACCTATTTAGTATTCCTCATTCAAAATGCTTGAGACCGAAAGTATTTTGGATATCAAATTATTTGGGATTTTGGAATATTTCCATATATAGTACACGATGAAGTACCTTAGGAATGGTACTCAAATCTAATCATGAATTTATTTTTAAATTGTTATGAGAGATTTTTGCTATAGGGTGCATGCGCTCGCCAGAGAGACAGAAAGACAGAAAGTGAGAAATCACCCTCCAGGGGGATGGACACGCCTCAATCCCTTCTTATTCTCCTCAGGATTTTGGGCACTACACACATGCTCCCGGCATTTTTTAAGCTGCCAGGTCTGGGACTCTCAAACACTAGTCAACTATGTGGGAGTCCAGTGATGTAACCATTGGGGAGAAAAGATACTCTATAAACTGGTTTGAATGTTTTTCCATGCTTAGGAAAAATTTTAAAAATTAAAAATTTTTTTTGGAGTTTTTTGTTCTAGGGCTTGTGCTCACTGGAGAGATAGAGAAACAGAGACAGAGATAGAAAGTGAGAAATCCCATGTTGGGGTGATGGCTACACTGTGATCCCTTCTTTTCTATTCTCTTGGAATTTTGGGCACACACACATATGTACCTGGTGGGCATTTCGAGTTGTTGGGTCTGGGACTCAAAACTGTGGTTGGCCATGTGGGAGTCCAGCACCTTAACCACTACGCCACCTTCTGGCCCCGAATCTGAAAATTTTTGAATGCCAACTATGATGCCACAAATGGAAAATTCCACATCTAACTTCATGTAATGAGTCATAGTCAGAGTGCTATAATACAAAAATAAATAAAATCACCTTCAGGCTATGTTTATAAGATGTATGTAAAACATAAATAAAAATTGTGTTGGGCCAGCAGGTTGCATAGTGGTTAAGGTACTGGACTCTTATGTGGCCGACCTTGGTTCAAGTTATAGATCTGAAGGCTTGAAACTCAGCCGGGTGCGAGTGCATGCATGCCAGAATTCTTGAGAGAATAGAGGAGAAGGGATTGCAGTGTGGCCATCCCGTGAGGGATTTCTCACTTTTTCTGTCTCTCTGGTAAGTACATACACCCTATAACAAAAATCTCTCCTAAAAAAATTTCTTTTTCAGATCTTGGGGACAGCAGGGGGCATGGTAGTTGAGGTGCTGGACTCCCCCATGACTGACCATAGTTCAAGTCCTCAACCTGGCAGCTAGCTTTCTTTCTGCTTTCTTACTTGCTCTCTGTCTCTGTCATCTATCCTGGTGAGCCCATGTGCCAGATAGCAAATTAAAATAATAATAATAATAATAGCAATAGAGTTAAATAAATCTTTTAAAATATTTTGGATTTTGGAGTATTTTTTACATTTTGGATTCTTGGATTAGGGCTGCTTAATCTGTATTTAGATTCCTAAGGAATTGCAGTTTAGCAGTTTGGGTTAAAGGATTGACTTCTTTGGTCAGTTATGGATTTAAATTGATGTAAAATTAAGTTACACTATTTAAGTTTAATTTTATTCATCATCATCATTATTTTAATTTGAATGGAGAGAGAGAGAGAGGGAAAGTGAGAAAGCAAGCCACCAGGTCCAGGACTTGAGCCGTGGTCAGTCACATGGGAGTCCAGTACCTTAACCATCATACTACCTGCCAGCCCCAAGTTAGGCTATTTTGATGTTTACTTTTGGTATTCAGAAATCCAGGAATACTCATAGTCTACAAATGAAAGAAATAAAGCAGATATATACTAATCTGACTACGTAATTCTAGTGTACAAATATTTTGTTGTTGTTACTTTTTTTAGTGTTGATGTAAAAAAAAATCTATCCTGGTAACCAGCAGTTAGTGTAATGGCTATGTTGCTGGACTCCCACGTAGTCGACCGCAGTTTGCGTCCTGGACCCGGTGACTTAAAACTCACGCCGGGTGCATGTGCATGCGTGCCCAAGATCCTGAGAGAGAATGGAGGAGAAGGGATTGCGGTGTGACCATCCTCCCTGGGGGGGTGATTTCTCGCTTTCTGTCTCTAATGTCTATTTCTGTCTGGGGAGTGACGCACCCTATAGCGAAAATCTCTCTCAAAAAAAAAAAAAAAGAAATCTATCCTATTTGATTGTAGGTTGATGTGACCTATTTGTACCTTTTTTGGTACTGGTAATATTGAAAATAGTTCGAGGGGCTAGCAGGTGGTGCGGTTGTTAAGATGCTGGACTACCAAAGGCCAACCATAGTTTGAATCCCAGACCTGGTGGCTTATTTTTTCATTTTCCCTCCCTCTCTCTCTGGTCAAACTAAAATAATAATAATAAAAATAAATAATTCTTTGATAAAAAGAAATTATGTGGATACACTGAAGAGCTATGATCAGTGTTTTTACCAGTGCCATGTTTCATGTTGTTGGGGAGGGAATTTCCTAACTGTATTCTTATTTCATTCACAATGTTTTTCAATTTGACAAATTTTGAAAACTAAATAATGAGTCTTAATTAAAAGTTTTAAAAAAATAGAAAATTATCAGTGTGCATGGCATGTAGTAAAGGTAAATATGCTTTGTCAAACTAAATGTACGTGCACGTGCAAGGTTGAAATAGAGAAGGTTACTTTTACATCTGCTCCAGAGGTTCACCTGTGTACATGCCACATTAACATGCGATTTGCAGTAATATTCTGTGCTTTGCTCAGTGATCTTCAGGTAACTTCCTGTTTTCTCATCCCTTTCCACAGGCATGCATCTTTTGTTGTTGTTGTTGTTTTTGAGAGGGAGATTTTTGATATAGGGCATGTTTGCTGGTGATACAGAGAGACAAAGAGACAGAAAGTGAGAAATCTCATGGGTGGCATGCCACACTGCAATCCCTTCTCCTCCGTTCTCTTGGGATTTTGTTCACGTATGCACACATGCACACCTGACCAGCCTGAGTTTTTTTTTGTTTTGTTTTGTTTTTGAGAGTTTTTTGCTGTAGGGTGCATGCGCTCACCAGAAAGACAGAGAGAGACAGAGAGACAAAAAGCAAGAACTCACCCCTCAGGGGGATGGCCACACCGCATTCCCTTCTCCTCCATTTTCCTCTTGGGATCTTTGGCATGCATGCACACACGCCTGGCTTGAGTTTTAGCCAGCGGGTCTGGGACTCGAACTGTTTTCGACTACATGGGAGTTCAGTGACGTAGCCATTACGCCATCTGTTGTTCCCAAATAGCCTAAGTGTTAAGCTGCTGGGTCCAGGACTCAAGCTGGGGTTGACTCTGTGGGAGTCCAGCAACATAACCATCTTCTGGTCCTCGGCATGCATCATTTTTATTGTCTTTTATCGTATTCCCTTAATTACAGAAATCAGTTCTCATTTAGATGTCTCTATAGTACCTTTCTCTCATAAGAGAAACATAAGAGTTTACTTTTCACAGGGTGTACTTGAACCGCCCTGTTGTCTGATGGATGCTGTCCTCAACAGGGGTTTGGAGAATCCCAGTTGTTTCAGAATTGCCCGTGTAACTTTTGACAGGTCATTGATCCGAAACCTGGGATAATGCCTTTTGGTTGGCAGAGAGTTCGTAGACAGCTATTATTTCTTACATGGAGATTGGCTTCTGTATTTATGACTGGGAGTGTTTACTCATTACATAATTGTGGTCAAAATAAAATCTAATATTAAGTCCTAACTTCACTCTTACTTTGTTAGAATGTCAAACTTGGTATTCAAACAATAAAGGAATAGCAATGATTTATCTTAGAAATTTCAGAATTGTACTTTTTTTCCAGTCCACTTAAAGTCTAACTAAAAGACTGGAAATAGATAGGCTCTGTACAAGCATTGAAATGACAGTTACAGAGAAAACAACAACATTGTGAAAGGTAAGCATGCTTAAAATTGTATCATGTTTGCTCTTTCTTCTAACAGGTGGTAATTGGGGAGAGTTAGTAAATAGTGAGGGTGGGCAGCTTTGGAGCTGGGAGGAATTGAAGTGATTTCCTTGTTTTTGTCAGAGGAGGGTATCTTAAAAGTGGAAACATGTATGAGATGGGGAGCATAGAAGCATGTTTTCTCCCCGAATTAGGTGACTCAAGTGCAGGGAAGAAGTCATATGACTTGAAGGCCACTTGCAAGGCTATGGATTGTGTTAAATTGATGCATGCTTTCACAGAAATGTCTTCTCCAAGAAGAATACTAAGAAATTTCAGCATCACGTAAATTAAAGTCAGTATGCTTTCATTTTATGAGCTTAAATATTATGAGCTTAAGCTCGTGAGGGACCAGCAGGTGGCGTGGTGGTTAAGGTGCTGGATACTCCCACATGGCTGACCACGGTTTGAATCCCGGACCCCTGGTGGCTTTCTTTCTCTCTCTCTCTCATCAAATTAAAATAAATGAATAAATAAAGAAAATTAAATAATTAAATAAAGAACCTGGTAAATTCTTAACCATCTGAATGTACATTCAACCTTTGTCACTATATAGAATGCATTTTACATTTTTATAATCTGTGTACATATTAATTTGTGCTCAACTTTTGACTTATTCTATACATGTTATATATAATCTATATAAAATATATAAGAATGTGCATATAATATTTTTATAAAAGCACCAACATAGTCCTTATACTGACCCTTTTGTGGCAGTAGAATTGCATCTTATATCACAGTTCATTTTGCCTTTTACTTACTTGAAGGTATTTGGAGTGTTTCAGTTCCTTGCAGCCATGAATTCTACAGCTGTTCTCATTTTTGTTTTAATGTGCTTTTCAGATAGGCCCTGTCTGAATATTGTAAGGGAGAGTACTTAGTATAAAATACACTTTAAAAGTTGAAATGACTACTTTATAATCTAACAATATTTACAATCCCCTGATTTTCAGAATTGGCTTCTGATTAAACTAAAGCAGGTCAAAAGATGAAGATAGTCATTTTAGTGATACTGCAACAATTAATCTTACAAATGCCCATACTTTGAGTGTAGCCAGTGGTGTTCATCTTTCCCCTTCCTTGAGTTTATTCTTGCTTCAGCTTACTTGCATTTCTTTCCCCACAGTTGTTTGTTGCTGGTTTGATTGTGCTGCTGTTAGATGAACTGCTACAGAAGGGTTACGGCTTGGGGTCTGGTATTTCCCTCTTTATTGCCACCAACATCTGTGAAACCATTGTCTGGAAGGCCTTTAGTCCCACTACCATTAACACTGGCAGAGGTACATTGCACAGTGATTGCAACTGCACGAGTTTTGCTGGATGTGTGCTGAAAAACGAGTCCGTGGTGCAGTAGTACATGCCTGTAGCCAATCTGGTTTGCTATCCCGGGGTATTGAATGTGAATTGTTAAACACTTAATAAGTAGAGATTTGTGGAGTGTGAAATACTACTTTAAAAGGGATAATATCTACATTTTAGCTTCTGCTCATTTAAAATTCCAGTGGCTACAAATTTTAAAATGTTGTTCATTAACCTTGCTTAAGCCATTACTGCAGAAGTTGTATATTTGACTGATTTCAGCATTTCTCAGGTGATAGAAGGTAGTGGATTAAGATTTCACAAGTGCAAACACTGTTCCTTGTCTTGTAAGGAGCACTGATACTTTCGTTGCTTTTTAAATTGGCTTTGTGATAACACTTGAGTTTTGAAGTATTTCATTCTGTCCAGCCCCTTACCCGTCTCTACTCTCGCAAGTGCCATTCTCCCTAATTGGCTAACATCTAAACTCTGATCCCAGCACTAAGAAAATAATGCGATGAGCATTAATGTGTTTGTTACAGTACACTTAAAGGCAAGCTTGATAGAGTTACATCTGCCTTTTGATTCTGATATTTTTGTTCTGCTTTGCTGTAGTTTTTTTCTTTTCTTTTTTTTTTTTTTTCCCTAAAAATACTCTTTTCCTTTTCCTAAAGTAAAGGAGAGGCAAATCTTTATGATTGAAATATTTGAATACATTCTACTTTGGCTGTTTTTATGAAGAATAGTCTCTTGAGAATATATCAGATTTATACTAAGATAAATTTGCCTCTATGATCTAAATATTTTTAGAACCTGCACACATGGTTATTTCAGAAAGCCAAACGTTGGGGAGTTCTTTTGACTCATATTTTCTGCTGCTAATAGTCTCAGGATATTTGTTTTGACCTCAGAGCAACTTTAGGCGATGAGTCTACAGTTAATTTCTGTCTTGTTGTCTCAGGTACTGAGTTTGAAGGTGCTGTCATAGCTCTGTTCCACTTGTTGGCAACCAGGACAGATAAAGTCCGGGCTCTAAGGGAAGCTTTTTATCGGCAAAACTTACCCAATCTAATGAACCTCATTGCTACTGTTTTTGTGTTCGCTGTTGTTATATATTTTCAGGTAAGTATAATCTTTTTGTCATAGTAAGAATGGGAATTTTTATTTTGCTTTAAAAAAATAAAATGCCATTTGAAATATGAGGGTTGAACAAGTCAGTATTGTAAGATCTAGTCAAGCAGATAATTCCATTCTTTAGGCAGTAGTCTTAATGTATAAAATACTGGTGGTTATGAGACAGAAAAAGATTTTAAAGTTTCTGTATGCAAAAGTAAATTATTTTAGTGTTATCTTTTCATTCTCCCTACTGTTAATTGTTGTCCCTCTCTGGTCCATATGCTTTTCTGATGTGTACAGTTTGTCTTACTTACTGTTAATTTCATTTTTTAGGGATTTCGTGTTGACTTACCCATTAAGTCGGCCCGGTATCGAGGACAGTACAGTAGCTATCCCATCAAACTCTTCTACACCTCGAACATTCCCATCATTCTTCAGTCTGCCTTAGTTTCAAACCTGTATGTTATTTCCCAGATGCTGTCTGTTCGATTTAGTGGCAACTTCTTAGTAAATTTACTAGGACAGTGGGCTGTGAGTATTTTATTTACATTAAGTACTTAAACTGTATTATAATTTGTTTTTCATGGTTTTAACATATATGTGTGTACACACACACACACACACAGATTGAGTATTTATTTCATGAGACAGACACATACACACACAGGTACACTCGACCAGGTTCTCATCAAGTGGTAACTACCACCCCCACTCCAGCTTTTTAGCCAGCCAGTATTTTCAGATCTACCTGGGATCTGAACCCAGGGCCTTCCCATATAGCTTCCGTATCATACGGTGGTGATTTGCTGCCTGCACCTTTGCAACTGGACCTCATGGTTATATTTTTAACAGAACAAGACAGACATTGAAGCAGTTAAATTCTGTCACCTGACAAAGAAATATTTTTCTCTCTTAAAGTTATACAATTAAAAAGGATTAGTATTCTTTTTGTTTTCTGTAGAATATGTGATTATAGAATTTGCATTTCACCAAAGAATAGTATTTTTTATAATCATTAGTCTTGAAATGATAACATAAGCGTTTATCTTATGGATTTATCTTAATATGCTACCTTTTGCATTTTAAGTTATAATAATGTATATCTCTCTGTTATTACTAAAGGCCATTTAAAAATCAATTTAAAGTTTAACCAAATAAGACAATAACTCTTGAATGGTAATTGAAGGAAATAGGAGTCTCTTAATTAATAATACAGTAGTCCTCTTATCATAGTTTCACTTTTCATGGTTTCAGTTACCTGTGGTCAGTCCATCAAAAATAGTTGAGCATAGTAATAGAAGGTGTTTTGGAAGAGAGATCAGATTCATATAATTTTTATTATAGCATATTGGTATAATTGTTGTTTCTTATTATTTTTGTTAATCTTTCTGTGCCTCATTTATAAATCAAACTTTATCAAAGGTGTGTATGTATAGGGAAAAATCTAGTATTTATAGGGTTCTTTACTATCCAGTTTTAAGTACACAGAGCAGGCCTTGGAACATTACCCCTGCAGATAAGGGGGGACCACCGTGTGAAGGTACTTCAAAGTGTGGAAAAATGGAATTAAAATCTGAGTTTATTGTAGTGGAAAGAAATTTTGAAATTCTTACATAGTTAACACATATATTTTACATGAACCTTTTTTTTTTTAAGTTTATTTTCATTCATGATAGCATATATGCGCTTATAAGCGGGAAAGCACTCCTCAGTGGGGCCAGGTCATATGGCAGTCCTTTTCCCTCAATTCTCTATCCCATCAGAATCTTGGCCAGGTGCACACATGCCCTGTGTAAAGCTGCCAGAGCTGGTATTCGAACCCCAGTTGGTCATATGGGATCCAGTTTTCTTGGTGTGCCTTAATGGCTGCACTACAGGGCTAGCCCAACATGAACTTTTGAAGACCCCCTCATATCCTTTCTACTTAAGGGAAGTCTGATTACTTGTTTTATTTTGGCCATTATAATTAGAAGGGGAAATAGGAATAAGAAGGATGTTGTCTCCTTCCTTCATTAGCTAATAGTTCAATAATAATTTCATAGTAATGATGTATAGTTGGTTATGTGTACATCGTGTGGTATAGTTGGTTATGTATAGATTGTGTTGTGATCCTTGACTAAGACTCTTTTTAATGAGAATTATTGGCAAATTTGATTTAGGATTAGTGATTCTATGCGCAAAGGAATAATTTGGAAATTGTAAATTCATAAACCAGGTATTTTAATCATTGCAGTGCCAAATTGCTTTCCTAGCCCTTGTACTCCAAAACTTTATTTAATATGAGCAAATAATGTTTCCATTTTCATCACTCTAAAATTTTTTTTGAGGAACTTTTAAAAAAATTTTCATTATTATTATTTTTAGTTTGACCAGAGAGAGACAGACAAAAGGGAATATAAGAAAGCAAGCTACCAGGTCCAGGACTTGAACTGTGGTTAGCCATGTGGGAGTCCAACACTTAAACCATCACGCCATCTTGCTGGCCCACTCTAAAAATTCCTAAATGTTTATGTAGCTAAAAATCCCATTAGAAGGACCAGCAGATGACATAATGGTTATGTCGCTGGACTCCCATTTAGTTAGCTGTGGTTCAAGTCTTGGACCTGGAAGCTTAAAACTCATGCGAGGTGTGTGTGCATGCATGCCCAAAATCCTGCGAGGAGAATGGAGAAGGGACTGTGGCATGGCCATTCCCCCTTGAGTGTGATTTCTCGCTTTCTGTCTCTCTGGCAAGCACACATCTCCTGTAACAAAAATCTCTCTCTAAAAAAAAAAGTCCTATTATAAATATTTATTAAAAGAATCCTTATAGGGCCCAGCAGTTGACATGGTGGTTAAGGTCCTGGACTGCATATGGCCGACTACAGTTCGAATCCAGGACCCAGCAGCTTGAAAGTCACACCAGGTGCATGCGTGTACCTTAAATCCCAAGAGAATGATGGAGGAGAAGGGATTGTGGCATGGCCGCTCCCCTGGAGGGTGCCTCTCATTTTCTGTCTGTCTCTCTGGCAAGTGCATGTAGAAACTTAGGAAGAAAAAAAATAACTTTCTTTTTTTTTTTTTAACAATTATTTCATTGTATTTGTTATTATTATTTATTTTTGATGGCCAGAGAGAGGCAGAGAGAGAGAAAGGGAAAGTGAGAAAACAAGCTGCCAGATCTGGGACTCGCACCATAGTTGGTCATGTTGGAGTTCAGCACCTTAACCACCATGCTACCTGTCAGCCCCAAGGCTCTATGTAATAATATACAAAGCGTGTAGGATTTAGGCAGTGAGCTTTTTTTTAAAAAAAAAAATTATTTATTCATTCATTTATTTTAATTTGACCAGAGGGAGAGATACATAGAGAGAGAGAAGGGAAGCGAGAAAACAGGCCACCAGGTCTGGGGCTTGAGCCATGGTTGGCCATGTGGGAGTGTCCAGCGCCTCAACCACCACGCTACCTGCTGGTTCCGACAGTGAGCTTTTAATCTTTGTTAATATTGATTGCATTCTTTTTTTTCATGTTAGTATTATTTATAAACCCAAAAGAGATAGCTTTCATGTTTCCATATTGTTTATTTTAAGTTCATTCTTCCTATAATTCGATCTTGCCTTTTACCATTTTTTTAGACATACATGAAGCTGTGGGTTAAACAAGTAGTCTTTTTTAAGTCAATGAGCCATTCTTAAATTTAAGAAACATTCAGTTTATTTTAGAATAAAGTCGTTAAATTCTAAGTTATACTTGAAACTTTAAAGTTTGAAGTTTTGGGAAAATATCTAAAACATTTCAAAATAAGACAGAAATGTATGTTTATGCTTAGGCACAAGGAAAACTACAGGATTTAGAAATAACAATTAAACAATATTGAAGTTGCAGAGATCATAGAAGGAATGACCTAAAAAGTGGGCTATTTTCTAAAAACAAAATTACCTAGTCTGGGACCAGCAGTTGGTGTAATGGCTATGTCACTGGACTCCCATGTAGCTGACCGCAGTTTGAGTCCCTGACGTGGTGGCTTAAACTCACGCCAGGTGCGTGTGCGTGCATGTCCAAGATCCTGAGAGGAGAGTGGAGGAGAAGGGATTGCAGCATTGCCATCCCCCATGGGGAGGTGATTTCTCGCTTTCTGTCTCTCTCTCTCTCTCTCTGTCTCTCTGGTGAGTGCACATGCCCTATAGCAAAAACCTCTCCATGAAAAGAAAAAGAAAGAAAAAAATTACCTAATCCATCCTACCACGTTAGAAAACTCAATATTAGCACCACTCATTATTGATAATAAATCTTCACACTTCATGAGGCTTTTTGTAGTGAAAACAGCAAACATCTTGGTATTATGAAAATAGTTTTGACCTCGAAGACCTCCCTCTATGTAGGCAACAGGGATACAGCCACAAATAAGCACTCTCCTGCCCTCAAGAAGCAACCTAGCTGAGGCTCTCTGACGAGGCTGATTGCATTCTTAATCCTTGCAAATAGAAGAATCACACATAATGATTTCAATGCTAGGAACTCATATAGCTCTGAAAATGTCAGATTCTACGTATAATCAGAGATGGATTATAATCATAGTCCTATCTTTAGCAAGAGAAGGAAGATTTTTTAGATATATTGTGACTTTTTTTTCCTGTTCAGATTTTAATGAGTAAAGGTATATAAATCCTTGTATATAAATCCTTATATACAATCGATGAGTGTAAATACTTTGAACTTAAAACATTGTGATAATTGAGAAATTTGGAAGGTCATAAAAATGTGTATGCTTGACCCGTTGGGCTGATTGATCCCTTGTCCTTTTCACTCTTGCTTTATAGGATGTCAGTGGAGGAGGACCTGCTCGTTCTTACCCAGTTGGAGGCCTTTGTTATTATCTTTCTCCTCCTGAGTCCATGGGTGCCATATTTGAGGATCCTGTCCATGTAGTTGTTTATATCATCTTCATGTTGGGATCATGTGCATTCTTTTCCAAAACATGGATTGAGGTGTCTGGTTCCTCAGCCAAAGATGTAAGTATTGGTTTACAAGGAGCACTTTATGGAAAAATGGAATTCATGTATGAGTTTATTTTGGTGCAAACTATTCTGAAAACCATGCTTTTTAATAATATTTTCCATGAAGTTTTTCAAGACCACTCATATTGGAAAATTAAAAATTTTTTAGAAAAAAATTCCTAATTTTTAAGGTATAAAAGTAATTGATGCTTTTTAAATTTAAACTTCTGTTTAATTCATACATCCTTTTTTTGAATTATTTACTATTAATCATTATTATTATTATTTTAAATTTACAGTAGGGCACGTGCACTCACCACTGAGTGCAGACAGAGATACAGGAAAAGTGAAAAAGTAAGCCGCCGGGTCTGGGATATGAACAGCAGTCAGCCATGCGGGAGTATAGTGCCTTAACCACAACACTACTCGCTGGTTCCCGTTTATAGATTCTTATAATTGAGGTCATGTCAGCCCTGTGGGCTAAAAACTGGTCCCTGGAATGTGAATTGCAGTGGTTTGTGATTCTCCAAATTCAGCAAAGTATTAAAGAAAAGTTTGTAAGATAGATTTTCACGATGTTGCCCAGGCCACCCTCAAGTTAGTGATCCTTCTGCCTCAGCCTCCCTAAATTGTTGGGATTATAAGCTCATGTCACTGCATTCAGCCTTTAGGTTGGGCCAGGAATTGAACCCAGGCCTTCCATGTGGTTAAATCCTGAGCACAGCTTTTTAGCAGTGTGTACCACCACTGGCCAAAATCTTATTTCTTAATACTTACTTAATTTATCTTTGGAGAGGTGATAATTGGTTGGAAAAAAATGCTTTGCACTGGTTTTGTCGGTAGTTAACAGTTGTGCAGCTTTGAAGCCTCTATTTTTTCAGGTTTAATGCAAAGGATATGACAGTGCCAGCTTCAAGATTCTTGTATTTGGGGGCCAGCAGGTGGCACGGTGTTTGAGGTGCTGGACTCTCATGGGGCCAACCACAGTTCGAGTCCTGCACCTGGTGGCTTGCTTTCTCACTCCCTGCCACCGCTCTGTCTGTGGTGAGCATGTATACTCTATAGCAAACTGAAAAATGATGATGATAAATAAAATTAAATAAGTAATACTGTTAAAAAAAAGATTCTTACATTGTATTTGTTAGTGTGGAGAAAACACTTCATACAGAATCTGGTAGATGGTAAACTGAAATGTTATGAGTTTGATTTTAAAAGTTTCTCTCTTGGCAGGTAGCTAAACAGCTTAAAGAACAGCAAATGGTAATGAGGGGTCACAGAGATACCTCTATGGTTCATGAGCTTAACAGGTAAGGTCATTAGACTTAATCCTTTAGAGGAGTATGTGTATGTTATCTTTCATTTATCATTACAGTTTATTTGTTCATATTCATATTTAAAGCAGTCTTCTACTTCACACAAAATAATTAAAATTTAACACAAAACTTAATTGTTCTCATTAAAAGGGTCACCTAAATTACACATATGTCATGACTTTTCCGACAGCCCAGTAATTTAGGTGTCACTTTTGATACCTGAGTTTTAAAAAAAATTTTAAGAATTATTTTATTGGGGCTGGCAGATGGCATAGTGGTTGTGGTGCAGATCTCCCACATGCCTGACTGTGGTTCAGGTCCTGGACCTGGTAGCTTGCTTTTTCACTTTCCCTCTCTCTCTTTCTGTGTCTCTCTCTCTGCTCAAATTAAAATAAATAAATAACAATGATAAGTAAAATTAAATGAGACAATTACTTTAAAAATTACTAAAAATTGGGACCAGCAGTTAGCGTAATGGCTGTCACTGGACTCCCATGTAGTTGACTGCGGTTTGAGTCCCAGACCCGGTGGCTTAAAGTCACACCGAGCAAGTGTGTGTGCATGCCCAAGATCCCAAGAGGAGAAAGGAAGAGAAAGGATTGCAGCATGGCCATCCCCGCTGGGGCGGTGATTTCTCGCTTTCTGCCTCTATGTCCTTCTCTGTCTTTCTGGTGAGTGTATGCGCCCTATAGCAAAAACCTCTAAAAAAATTACTAAAAATTATTTAACTTTATTTATTTACTTATTCAATTTGACCAGAGAGGGACAGGAAGAGAGAGAGAGAAAGCGAGAAAGTAAACCATCAGGTCTGGGACTTGAACCATGGTTGGCCATGTGGGAGTCCAGTGTCCCTAACCACCATGCTACCTGCTAGCCCCTACTTAATTTATTAATATAATTTAATTAAAATTATATTCCCTTCATTATTCAGCCTAGTGTTAAAATGACATAGCTCACTGGTTCTTAGTATTGGCTGTTGTGAATAAAGTCACCAGGAACCTGTTAAAATACTGATATACCATCTCCAGGGGTTATGATTTATTTGGTCTGGGCTAGATCCCCAGTGTCTGGTTTCAGAAACAGCTTTGAGATATAATCCACATGCCATGTCATATACTTATTTGAAGTATATAGATCAGTGTCTATTTTTAGTAAGCCCAGAGTTTCATAATCACTACAATCTAATTTTAAGAACATTTTCATCATCTAGAAAGAAACTGAACCAACGAGTTATAACCATTCCTACTCTATCCTCCCACTCGTCAACCCAGGCAAACAATTTTTACTTTCTTTCTCTATAGATTTGCCTATTCTGGACATTTCTTATAAGTTTTCACCTAAATATAATATTTGATCTTTTCTGAATGGCTTCTTTCACTTAGCATTTTTTCATACTTCATCCATGTTATGTGTTAGTATATTTCATTCCTTTTTCTTCATGCATATTCCATTGTATGACTTCACCATGTTTTGTTTATCAGCTGATGGAAATTTCAGTTGTTTCCAGCCTTTGGCTATTATGAATAATGCTGTTACGAAGTTAGTTACAAAAATTTAGTCCAGTTGCTGCAGATCCTCATTAGCACTGATTCTTGCTTTTGGATTTCAGCCATCCTAGTGAGTGTGAAGTGACTTTTTATCGACTTTTCTCTGATGACTGATACTGTGAAACAGCCGTTTGTATTCTTATTGGTTTTTTGTGTATCTTTGGAAAAATACCTATTCAGATCCTTCACTGATCCTTAACTGGGTTGTCTTTTAAGAGTTTTGTCTTTATTATTTTTTTGACATATCTTGTCATATATATGACTTACAAATATTTTCTCTTATTCTGTGGGTCTTTTCACTTTTTTAATGGTGTCATTTGATGCACACATTTTAAATTTTTTTCAAAGAATTATTTTAATTATTATTTTAAAAAATTTGCTATAGGGTATGTGAACTCACAGAGAGAGAGAGAGAGAGAGAGAGAGAGAGAGAGAGAGAGAGAACGAAAGAAGCAAGCCACCAGGTCAGGGACTTAAACTGTGCTTGGCCATGCGGGAGTCTAGTATCTTAACTATCACGCCACCTGCTGGCTCCCATTGAATTTTGATATAAGTTAAATTTTATTTTTTCTCTATTGCTTCTTGCTGCTTTTTGCATTGTGTCTAAGAAAGCATTGCTAAGCTCAAGGTCACCAAGATTTATTCCTATTTTCACCTAGGAGTTTCAGTGCTTACATTGAGATCAGTAATCCACTTTGGGTTTTTTTGTTTGTTTGCCGTGAGATAGGGGTTCAAACTCCTTTTGCATGTGGATATACTGTCACTATTTGTTGAAAAGGCACTATTATTTTTATTTGAATTTTTTATTTATTTAGAACATAGACACATAGAATCATCAACTTACAGTTTCAGTAGTTATCCTCATTTTGCCATTCTTGTTTCATCTTCCCTCTCCTGCAATCTTTTCTTTTTTTTGTTCCTGAGGTATTTGAAAAAAAATCCTATTTTAACAGTTTTCAGGTGATTCTGATGTGCAACCAAGGTGGAATTATTCTTGAGGAGGATGATTTAAAATCTTGTTACATGAATTTATTGATACTTAGAAAACATTTTGAAATTTACTCTTCATTGCACAAGGGGGAACTAAAGGTTACTCATTAAAAAGTATTAAACATGGGAACCAGCAGTTAGCGTAATGGCTATGTTGCTGGACTCCCACGTAGTCGACTGCGGTTCGTGTCCCGGACCCGGTGGCTTAAAACTCACGCCGGGCGCGTGTGCGTGCGTGCCCAAGATTCCGAGAGGAGAATGGAGGAGAAGGGATTGCGGCATGACCATCCCCCCTGGGCGTGATTTCTCGCTTTCTGTCTCTATGTCTCTCTCTGTCTGTCTGGCGAGCGCACGCGCCCTACAGTGAAAATCTCTCCAAAAAAAAAGTATTAAACATTTTAGTACTTAAATCTTAGTCTCAGATTCTGGTCTTCCTTCTTAAGAATGATGTGGTCTTGTGCCACATAATGACGTTTTTGGTCAATGACAGACTGTGTATACAGTGTGGTTCCATAGGAATACAAATATGTAACGTACAGCCTAGGTGTGTAGCGGGCTGCCCTGTCTAGGTTTGTGCAGATACACTCTAGGAGTCCATACAACCATGAAATCATAGAATGACGACTTCTTAGAATAAATTCCTGTGAAATGTGGCATGACAGTGTTGTCTTTCTTGGTCATTTTCTGGTTTCTTGAAATCAGGAAATCAGAACTATTGCCACAGTTATTGCTAACATGTGACTAGTTACGTACAGGCCATCAATACTGCAGACTATTCTGTTTGCCTAGTGTACCTATATTCCCTCAGAGAACCATTGCTGGCCAAGCTTTGAGTCTCTTTGCTTCTAATTGTTGCACCCTTTATTTTCCTCCACTGCCTGACCAAGGGTTTCTGTCTCCTAGGTACATCCCCACGGCGGCTGCGTTTGGTGGTTTGTGCATTGGTGCCCTGTCAGTGTTAGCCGACTTCCTGGGAGCCATCGGATCTGGCACTGGGATTCTGCTTGCAGTCACTATAATTTATCAGTATTTCGAAATATTTGTTAAGGAACAGGCTGAAGTTGGTGGGATGGGTGCTTTGTTTTTCTAAATGTTCAAATATTTCTTTATGTGTGTGTGAAAGGGAAAATATTTTGACACATTGTTTTTGTTCCTTTTCTTCCCTCACAGTTTCTTGTTTTCAAGTGCTAATTGTCCCATTTCTGAAGTGGGAACCGAGCTAAGCCTGTGTGCAGCATTAGTACCCGCTGCCTTAAAACTGAAGTTTACATTATTCGTTAAAAATGTACATCTAGTGTTGCCCGTAATGCTGGAAACCAGTGAATCTACTTGCTGTGTTAAATCATGACAGTGAGATGGTGACATGGATTCGTTTTGCACACTATCAAAACACTTAATATCTCCCCTCCCCAACTTGTTTAAAAATAAATGTAGTTCAAATTGCCACTTTCCAGTATTTTTGAGCTTATTTAATGAGTTCTGGAACATTTATATCTAATGTATATTTTAGATAATTACTTTTTATACTTTTTTAACTCATAGTATCCACACCTTAGATCCCCCTTCTTTGTCCCTTTTCAAAGCAGCCAGTTAGCCCAGATGGGCAAAAGTCAAATATCAAAGTTCTGTCACCAGAACCACCTGCTTCCAGGTACGCTGCCTGTGCTGCGTACGCTTTTGCCTTTCTTCCGAGACAGCATGCGTGGAGCTGTCCGACTGTCGGCGCTGCCTTCTAATGCCAATTGTCACCCGAATCCTCTTTCCAGGTTCTGTGCCCCGATTCTTTTTTTTTTTTTTTAAATCTCTAAAGCAAAGATCTAATTCTCAAGCACTGTCTGTAGTTCAGTGGGGGTGAACAGTGAGTAATTCATTCTAGGAATTCTGTTTATGTTGTTGTACTTACGACAACAACATGAGTGTGAATAGTAGACAATAAACTTTTATTTAATAAAATGGTTTCACTTGTGTTGGAAAAATAAAGACATATGATAGTAAATGTTTTCTAAGATTATTTATATAGGTTCATTGTATATATACAAGGTCCAGACTGAAATGCCAATTGAAAGAAGCCTGTAGTAATTACATTTAATGTTTAATTCTAAATTATTGAGGGGCAGCAGCCAACTTAAGGGTACTCATTTAGGGACTGATGTTTCAAAAAGGACAAGAAACAATGATTGTCTTAAAACAGAATTGCAGTGTGTACTTGAAACTACAGTTCTTTGTACATAATTCATTTTTTAAAAAAATATATGCTTGGGGCCAGCAGGTGGCAATGAGGTTGGGCACTGGATTCCCACGTGGCCGACCATGGTTCAAATCCTGGGCCTGGTGGCTTGTTTTCGCACTCCTCCCCCAATGAGTGTCTGTATCAAATTAAGAAATAATAATAATGATGATAAATAAAATGAAAGATTTAAAAAAAACATGCTTAATTTCCCTCTAAAATTTTAAAAGATATCCTTTTTAGAACTACAGTTCTCCACAGTTGTTTACATTCTTTTTTAAAAAAAATAATTATTTAATTTTAAGTATAGGAAGTTTTTGTTTATGTACATTATTCAGGGTAGAAGTTGCTTGTACATTAAAGAGAAAGGATGCTGCATCTTCGACAGGGTTTCATCACGCTGTGATCTCTCTTCTCCAGCCCTCCAGCTGGTCAGGACCTCAGGCATGCACACATGTGCCCTGTGTTTTCAAGCTGACGGGTATATCTGAAGGCCATATGGCTTCTAGCAATGCAGTTCACTTTGCTACCATTAGGTTGGGCTGGAAGTATGTTTTATTTACTGAAGGGCAAGATAGATAAAATAAAGGCAGGCAGGACAGGAACAGCAGTCAACTGGAGAGCATCTGAGGGCCTTTGGGCCATTGAGACCACAGAAATAGGGGCCTGGTGTTCTATCTCATTTTATTTTTGAAAAGAAGGTGGATATATGGCTTTTTATAGACAACATTTAATACTTGTTTTTGAGAGGTTTTTGCTATAGGGTGTGTGTGCTCACCAGAAAGACAAAGTGAGAAATCACCTCCTGGGGGTATGGCCATGCCACAATCCCTTCTCCATTCTCCTCTCGGGATCTTGGGCATGCATGCACATGCACTCGGCGTGAGTTTAAGCCACTGAGTCTGGAATTCGAACCATGGTGACTACGTGGGAGTCCATTGAGCAACATAGCCATTAGGCCAACTGCTGGTCCCCATTTAATTTTGAAATGTGGCCAAATAAGCTTAATTTTAAATGGTGAAATATCCAAGCTGCCAGTTTTTTTTTTTTAACTTAATTTCCAAAGCATAGCCCTTTGATATTTATAGATAATGAAATGGCATTTGGGATATGTTCTAGAATTTAGCTATTACTTGCAAGCTGCACTGCTTGGAAGAAAGGCAGAACAGGGGTTACAGATAGCACTCTTTCATCAGGTCATTCCAGAGAGGAGTGGCTTTTGAGAACTGGTTTGTAGAGAGAGTGTTCTGTGCTAGAGTCTCTATGTGTCTTACCTCTTCTGGATTCTGAAGGAGGGAGTAACAAGTAAATTACAGGATATGGTCCTGGAGAGTGCAAAGAAAACATTTAAGATCTTTGGAGAATTATGATGCCTATGATTAAAAACCAGTGTTTTTCAAAAAGCACTAGAGGCATAGGGAAGACTACTGTTATAGCAAGTAGAGATATTTTTTAAAATAATTATTTTATTTAACTTTATTATTATTTAAGTTTGATCAGGGAGAGAGAGAGAGAGGGAAAGTGAAAAACCAAGCTGCCAGGTCCGGGACTCGAACTGTGGTTGGCGTTGTGGGAATCCAGTGCCTTTAACTCCTCACTGGGTCTACAAGTAGACAGATCGTAATTTTCAGAACATTTACAGGGGAGTAGACCTGATCTATCAAGTTCTGTCATTCCTAATTCTCATCCTTGTTTCAGAAGTCTAGTATAAAGACTTTATATTTTCAGTCATAAAAATAGCTTTGAAAAAAGGTAAAACTATAGATAAATGAACTATACTACATTTTTGGCAGTAGTACCCTGATTTTATCTAGAGGATCATGTTTATGTGGTTCTGAGAGCCATACCTTAACACCTGGATCCAGACTGGAAACATGGGTTAGGGCTGGCCAATGAATATCACCCTGAGACTTCTGCTGGGGACTGAAGTGAAAAAGCAATAATCCTGGAGCTGGCGGAGGCCATAAAAAGTCAACATGTGAGCTAAGCTCACTCCAGAGGTTAAACTTTTGGATGACAGGGGCTTTAGGCATGGCATGAACTGAATAGTCCCTGTGTCTTTTCCTCTCATTTCTGTATTCAATCTTGGGTATCAGCTAGCCTTACCAGCGCTACCATGATTCATTAAACTACAAGGTATTGATGTCACAACCATGTCAATCTTAGTACTGTAGATTTGTTTTCAGAAACTTCTAGGATTTTCTGAGGTAGAATAGAAAAATAGATTCTGAGGCATGTGCATATGTCTGAAGGAAGGGCCGTGCATTTTTATTACACGAGACCTGGTTCAGCTTTAGTACTTAGCTGAATATAAGGATACTTACATATAAATATTTCCTTATTATGAATGTTATTTTCTGTTTTTATATCCTCTACTAATAGCAAATAATTTAATTAGGAGAGGCCAAAAAAGCCCCTGTATAGATCTTAGACAAATTTTTTTAATAAATAAAAATACTAATAGTTATTTGCATACTTGGATACATAATTTTTATATGGGGGGGCTAGTGGGGGAAATAATTGACCTAATTTGAAACTGAAATCTGTCTTCCTGTGGAAATACCCCTCTCACCTACACTAGATTAGAAAAGTACAGTTAGCTTAAAAAACAAAAACAAAAACAAAAAACATTTGTGTTTAAATTCTTTAACTGATAATGGCTGGAGTTTAACAAAATTAAATGAAGGTTACAGCCTACCTGTAATGACAACTCCATATAACCATCACATGCATTCTGAGCTGTTTTTATTTTATGAAAAAGCTAATTTCAAATCTACATTAAACTAAGTGGAATACAAAGTCTTAGTGAAGAAGGCCTGGTGGTCCTGTTTACAAAACAGATGGACAGTGTCCTCTTTGGCCTCAAAATTTCAGGAAGGGCACTTCAAATGGCTTCGTGTTTGCGTGTTTCAGCGCCAGGGCGTAGGAATACACTCTGGCATCCACTGTAAGATGTTCTTCAGCTACTAGAGCTATAGGAAGGAAAGAACACGGCTTAGATAACGCAGTCGATAAAGGATAGTATCTCGCTAGCAGTCAATCAGTATGCACTGTGCAACTACCACCGATACATGCTAGTTCTATGTCAGAGGCTGGTCAAACATTTCTGCCTTCACGGATCATACTCTAGAGGAAGTAAAAAGGATATAAAAGAGGATTACATTCCTAGTATGAGATAAGAACATCAGGGGTAACAATTTTAAGTGTTAAAACAACAAAATAAGTTTATAGATCCAATTGGTACACTTCAATTATAGTTTAGGTGGGGTTTTGCTACTTTGAAACTAATGGTGATTATACAGCATCTTAGGTACTGCTAGGAGATACACATTTTCCCTTTACAAGTTAAAATGTATGCATGTTAGGGTTGGAAGTGTAACTACCAAGAATGAGATCTTAGAATTTTACTGTCAGGTTTTAACGAGAATTTCTGTTTGACTCAGAGGAGATCAGACTTTGAATCTATCTCTTGTTTTCCTAGCCACTTGTTTGGGGAACAAGCTCACAGACATTTTGATCCTTGAAGGCAGGGCTCCTGTCCAACGGCTTCTGAGCATGGCAGGTGCTTGGTAAGTGCTGAATGTTACTTTTTGTAGCAAACTGTTCTTGAGCAATCTTCCTTATAGCTTCTCAAATGTAACATTTTTGAGTAAGTGATCTGATTACTACATTTTAATTCTAGTAAAGCTAGGCAAACTGGTTCTTTTATCCCTTTCTCACTACCCTCCTTGTTCTAGGACCTCCCACACCCCCCCCCCCAACCAGAAGAGAAGCTGAGTTAGGTGGCAGGGAGAAGGAAGAAATTTCTTTTAAAAAGATACACTTCTAAAACAAAGACTAATAACAAATTGCACATAACATTTAAGCACCTGTGTGCCAAGTGTTTTACTTTTACTCATATTCAGAGGTAGGAGCTTTTGTTCCTGTTTTAGGGAAAGTTTTTTAGATTCAAAACTAATCACGGTTGCCTGAGCCTCGATGCAGCCAAGTCTGTCAGACTCTTAAGCTGTGTATCGCCTATTATCGATCATCATGGATTTCTTTGAATAAATGCCTAGAAAATTATCCTTATAAATGATTTCTAATTCTGGCTTTGAGATCTTGCAGTGGTTTTTACCTTTGGTCTAGTTTTTTTTTTTTTTTTGGAGAGGTTTTTGCTATAGGGGGGGTGCGCTCCCCCGC